TTCTCTAGTTTTTCTTCATTGTTGGCTGCATTTTCGTTTTGAAAATATCTCAGCTTGGATATAGTGATCATTGTTTACGCATTACAATTCAAATTTTAAATTGCAAGAACTCAAATTTGCTAACTTTCCTGTGTACTCCAAAAAGATTAGTGGAAGAATACACTCAATTTTGGACTATATAAAGTTCACAATTTTTTGTTTCGCTTTAACGCCCATTTATTGCAGATACGAGTCATTTGCTGAAAGAGGTTATCAAGATTAGAGGGTTACATCATTTTCGTCTGCTGTTTTAAACTACGTGCAGAAGTTTATCTGATATGATTCAATCCAAGTTGACCCTATCATCATCATCTGAAGACAAAATTATTGGGGATTATTAGGGGGAATTTCAATGTAGACTACGTGAAGTGTATTAACTGCCTATCATTCAGCCAGGAGAGAAGTATTCTACAACATTCTCATTGAATTCAGTACATTCATGAAAATGGCCTGCCTAATTAAGATTTTTTATTCAAAACCCGTAGTAAGGTCTGGCCAGTAAACATTTTTCTGCTGCATTTTATATTTAGAATGGCCTGAAACATTGTTTCTCAATTTTGGTTTTGAAGTGCCATTAGGAAGGTCAAAGAAAGCAAAGAGTGAACAGAAGCTCAATAGATGCTTGTGAGGAAGTTGATCTACAATTAAACACAGGTAAAACAAAGTATATATTCATGTTTTGACATCAGAGTGCAGGACAACATCATAATATAAAGGTAGCTTAAAAAAATGAAGTTCAAATATTAGGGAGAGGCATTAATAAAAATCGCATCGTGGGTTAAAACATTAATGGAAACTCCAGGCCAGTGCTGATGAGAAAAGTGTTTCCTGCAATTTTCATTGCTCGACAGACACGTCGAATATATTGTGGTACTGTGACCAGTAGAAGCTGCGGACGCAATCAATAGTGCCCTGAAATTTCTACAGGTCAAAGCGGACATTCAGTGCTCTTTGTGTGTTGAAATATTCTTATGCACTTTGACTGTCCGTGGTCTTATTTCAGTATTGCGAGGAGCATCGATGTCCTATCTGTGACCTAGGCAGAAGCTGCCACACAGTTCCACAGAGTTGTGTGTGGTTTCCCTGACTCTGGAGACGACAAATTAAGGCCTCTCATTGTCAGAAAATCTACAGGTATGTCTTATCACCCTGATGAAGGTAGCAAGAATCTCTGAAACTTCGGAAAACTTGTACCAGGCTACACTACGCAACAACCCAGAAGACAGCCATCCGAAAGTAGTATGAGGATGGGGTAATATATATATAGAGGCATAAATTTAGTATATTTTGAGGAAATCGGTCAGACAGTTTAGTAGTTCAGAGGGTGGACACATACAGACTGCATAGTGATTCCATAAGCATGTGTTTTTTGTGCCAGCCGCAGTGGCCACGTGGTCTGAATTAGGACCTCGTGCGCCTGGCCGCTGGGACCGTGGGTTTGAGTCCCACTCAAGGCATGGATGTTTGTCTGCGTCTTTCTGTGTTTGTATAGGTAGAGGCCTTGCGTCGGGCTGATCACTCATCTAAGGAGTCCTACCATTGTCAAAATAGATCAAAATGAATAAATAAAAAACCACGACACCTATGGGTAAAAGAGGATGAGAGAAAGAAAGAAAAGTATTTTTTGTCTAAGATGTCATTACTGGCTAATATAACCAGTTTTGTACTATGGATGTGCAATTTGGTCCTGCACACTGTTGGAAGGTAGCAGATTGAGCGTGTTTGGAAGAAAAAGATCACTGAGAAAATTTGAAATAAAAAAATAAGTAACGGGATGACATCAAAACTGTACGGTGAGGGGCTTCTTGATTTGAACTGTTCACTGGATATTATTACAACTATCATATCAAGGAGTCTTGAGGAGTGAGCGAAGCATGTAGCACGCAAGGGAGAGTTGAAAAATTCATACAGAATTCTAGTCTGAAAAGCTAGAGGGACACAACCACTGGGGGAATTAGGAGTTGATGGGAGAATGATATGAAAATAGTTCTTAGAGAAATAGGTTATGAAGTTGCAGGCTGGATTTGTCTGGATTAGGGCAAGGTATAGTGGAAAGCTGTCATGAACACATGGGTGATAATAAATCTTTGAGCAGGATTTTATTACCAGCTGAATGAGCGTTGGGTTTTCAAGAAAGAGATTACATCTTAGAACTGGTTATGCAACAACTGAAGCTGAACCAGTATGGGTGTGCATGCTTGGCTTTTACATTCTATTTATATGTTTTAATTGGGATGGCTGACAGGAATCTGTGAACACAGTGAACAGATACTGTTGCTCAATAACTGGCCTTATTTCAATTTCCGCTATTTTTGTGTTATTAGTTATGTTGTTAAACAGGCCAAGTTAAAATAAGTTCAGTAAATTCTTATTATTGTTTGGTTATGTACTTTTCAGTGCGATGTAGATCAAGATATAAGATGCAGAATTTTTTTCCCCAGTCCTTTCGTGTCACAAACGTGAGAGGGAAACGTATAAATTGCAAACGTTTGGAAACAAAGCGATGAAGAAGAAGAAGAAGAAGAAGAAGTAAGAATTGAATTTCTCACGGCGGACGACGATGTTGATCTGGGTTGTGGTTCGTGTCGATTTCGTAGGTCGATACTAAAGTTTCGGAGAAACATACTCTCTCCATATTCAGGGCATCAGCCTTTGGTATCTACCTACATATCTACACGGAGCCACAGCCCTGAATAAGAACATCGTCATGCAATAAGTAGGAACGAAGCAATTGGGTAATTTAAGATTTTATATAACAGTGAACTTTGTGATTTATATAGGACTCTTGATATTGTTAGAACAGTGAAATCAAGGAAATTACTATGGTTTGGACGTGCAGCTCGGATGAGGAAGACAATGAAAAGCTTATTAAATTTGACAGAGAATGCTCTCATAGAGCAGCCGCTTTGTAGACAGAATAGTAACATGGTACTAAAGGAAATTGTTAGAATGGAACTAGAACAGAACTCTGCGCAGTGGCGGGGTTTGTCGTTAGTGTTGCTACACTGCGAGATAGGTAGGTAGTTCAAGGGCATTGAATTAGCTTCTCCAAATAACCTTGGTATTTGTAGGGTACGAAAGAAAATAGGACCAAAGAGAGTGCAAGTAAGAGGAGGACGGAGAAAACTGCGTAATTAGAAGCATCATAATTTGTGTTATTTACAAAATAGTATGATCAAAGCAATGAAAATGTCTGACGTGATGGTACACGCTTGGAGGAAATTACAAATGAGTATAAACTTTTTGTCGGGAACAGGAAACCCAGACTTAGAGGATGATATTATCAAATTATATCTTAAATTAAAATTATATGAGGCGTGAACTGGATGCAGTTGGCTCAGGAGGGCCCAGTGACGGGTTTATGTGGGCACAGTTCCATAAAAGGAGAATTTATGGACAGCTGAAAGGAAAGGGTTGTGATTTATGGAGTTATTTAGGTAGTCAGTTCATTTGTGAGATTTTAGGTTGTCTCGGAATCAAGTATGAAGATAGCTGTCTTCTGGGATATTTGCATTGTGTTGTGTGGTAGGTACTGACCGACGTTTCCGAGAACGTTACTGCCTACATCGTCAGGGCGATGAGTGTTAGTTTATTATATTGAAGTACTGTTCCGAATTTCTTTCGAAAGGCTGAGGGACGTTACGAGAAAGATAATTAAGAATAACTGTTTCTCCATGGAAGTTTCTGTGAGAGAACCTCTCGGATACAGACAAACCGTTACCTTTTGATTAAGTGGCTCGACCATGGAGTGCGCTATTAGTATAATGGTGGTTGTCCGTCTAAATGAACCAGGGTCATCTTTGTCCCTCGGACGCACAGAGGAAAAGCATATATGATATAGCTTACATTTGATTTGAAACCGACTTTTACACTACTATGGAGCACATCATTAAATGTGCCACTCCTCTCAAAAGTTTGTACCAGGGAAATCATTACAATGTTTTTTAAAATTATTTCGACATGCTCCACTTGCTCTAGTAATTGCTGGTAGTCTACCACTTTTACCCTGTGAGTCCATATAGGTCTGTGTTGTTTTTCCACTTCGTACTTCAGGATATTTTGGCGACCTTAATTGTCATAATCATGTTGTTGTCATTAACATTACTATTTCTCATGAAGCGCTCACTTCATCCAGGGCTGTTTTACCTCAACAACGCACAACAATTTAAAGTAAGGAAACAAATAAGAAAATAACAACGCTACGATACGCACAGATTGAACGATGCAAATGCATGCTGACATAACCTTACTTTAATACCCAATATTAATTCCAGATGTAGATTTCAGAATTAAATAACGGGCAGATGTGGGAAAGAGAGAAAGACAATGAAACTAAGAGTAAGCTTACACGTCTTTTTGTTTCGCTTGTTTGTATGAGCGTTTGTGATTTAGAGGGCATGCTAAGCTCTTGGCACTGTTCAGATTTGTTGATTTTTAGTCCAGTTTGAGTATTCGTCCGGGCAAACAGCCAATTATGTTAGGAAATTTCTGCGGTCGACGAATGCTCTGTTCTGCCTCCCCACCAAGCCCTCATTTCTCCTCACTTCTTGCACATATACCAACAGACGGGGACTATTTTTTAACCTCACTCTGAGGTCATTCCCCAGAATTACCTATATTATTACAGCGACTGTTCTCCGTCCATTTTTCAGTGTCAGAAGTGGAATGCGGTTTGTTCGATAAGTAAAATAAGCACTAAAGTGTGGTGCATGTAAAGATACCGAAGGATTACACTTTATATAACAACAAAATGTTTATAATTGCGTGAGTGTATTATGTGTAAATTGTTTTCACTCAGCAGTGGCAATGCTGTTGGAGGAATTTTGGCTGACTATGAAATAACTAACTGTCTCGTACGCGTGTTTAATCCTTTAAAGCCGAGTAGCTACAACACACTTTGTACCACCTGCTTTAAAAGTAGGTAACTCTGAATTTTGTATTTATGGGTTTCGTATGATTCTTTATGTAAACAGCTATTATTCCCTTAAAAAGCATTAACCAGTTGATTTTTGTAATGGTAAAATGTTCTTTTATTTGCTGTACGGACTAAATTCTTAAATATTATTTAGACCAATTTGAATATGATTTTTATAGCAATGATTTTTGTAACTGGATTGGCAACGAACCAAAGTTTTCGTTTTCTAACCAAATTATATTTATGTAATGAATATACGGAGGTGCGATCGGAAAGTTTCAAGACTGTGTCAACAGAGGGCGAACCGGATGTAGTACGAGCTTCTGCCGCTAGGGGGTGCGGCCTACATTCATAGTGAATCAGTGTGCCAGCCGGCATCATCGAATTAGCATTTGTTTCTTAGTTACGGGCGTTTTGGTAGTGCATTTCACCGACCCTCCTGCGATTTCGGAATGGCGTGTGCATCAAATTTTGCCAAAGACTCGCCAAAACGGCTACGGAAACCTATGAAATGCTAAAGCAAGCATTTGGGGAGTCCGCAATGGGTCGTGCACAAACTTTTGTGGGGCATTCACGTTTTAAAAATGGCCGAACCCCTGTCGATGATGACGAGCATTCTGGACGACCATCTTCGAGCACAACGCCCGAAAATGTTACGAAGATCGACGTCGTACCATCAACGACTTGTGCGACATTGTTGGGACCTGTCAGCTGATTCTAAAGGAAGAACTCCACAGGCGACGCATCCTGTCTGAGGACCAGAAGCAGAATCGACTTCTCGTTTGTCAGGAGCTCAAAGATCTTGCAAGAACCGACCCCAACTTCCTTTCTAAGCTCCGTGTGACTTCTTCCTCTTCCCAAAGATGAAAATTCAGCTAAAGGAAAGGAGATTTGAGACGATAGAAGAGATTCAGGCAGAATCGCAGATGGTGCTTGACAGGCTGACAAAGAAAGATTTCCAGGGATGCTTCCATTTTCAATAAAGTAACAGCAGTGTAGGGGACTACCGCAAGGGCTCGCGTATTTAAATCCCGGACTGCTGGCTAGAAGTCAGTGCTCATCTAGGTCCTGCGACCGACCAACTCGATCAAGTTTTTCCTCGGCCCTAGAGTAAATCCTGAGTTGGTACCCAAACTCCTCGTAGCTCTTCATGTCTCTTATGCAGCCCTCCCACTGCTAATATAAAAATTCCGGCCCCATATCAACATTAACAAAATTTACTAAACGACAACCTTCCAAGGTAAATATAAAAACTTAAAATTGTGCACGAACGCAGTAATAAAAGGAAGAAGGAAATATACTATAAAGAAAATAATAAATATAGAGATGGAAGTGGAAAAATAAGTAAATAAACTAATGCTAACTGATACATTTGTGTAAAATTTGTTGTATCGTTTATGTTGTCGAATTGTGGCGTCAAACTCCGCGCCAATATTTAACCACTCCGGGATTGTTATCCTTAAAGCGCAAACCTTTGATTCGCTGTTGTTTGCCGTATAGTTCACTAGAGCCATCTATTCACAGTAAGCTCTTTGATCGTCGAGTTCGCTAGGCGCGTGGCCAGTAGTACGGCGACTTCCCAGCGGTGCAGGCGTGTGATAAGCTAGAACCTGGCGTTTCTCGTGTGTCTGAGTGCCGTACGCGCAGGTTAGTTTTTTGATTGTAACGTACATTAAATTCACATCAAAGTAAACGGCATGCTGTCAGTAATTTGCAAAGGAGTATTTTTGTCAAAAGATTCTTTTTGCGAATTTATCTTCTGTTTTTAATCTTTAATAGCTATGCAATCCGTAGGTGAAATTAGGAATATATAAACAAGTCAGAAACGTTATAGGAACACATGTGCTGTGAGAAAAATAAGGCTTGTTTGAAGGCAGATTTGCTTTTCTTATGTTTTCGTTTTTGAATCAAGGGTCAGTGCAATAAATAGTGATTTATTTTTGTTTGAGTGTAAAAGATCTGTGTTACGTTAAATATTCTGTGTATTTTTGTGCATCCATGAGCCGTTTTATTCCAAGAGACTGCAAGACCGATTGCTCTAAGAAGTGCGCCGTCATTTGTCACCAACGGGAAGCACAAGATTCTCTGCCACCTAGAAGAAACAAAAAGAAGTTTCATCATTGGTGTTGTACTGTTTTGGAAATAGATTCCATAAGTGTTTTGTCTCCACCATTTCTGCTTCTACAGCTATTATTGTTGAGTCAGAGTGGATTACATCATAAAAAACTAGATGCTGGCCGTGTGGTATCACACCAAGTCCGTCGGATCAGGCATCCAAGTGACCTCTCATCTAGGTAAGTAAAATTCATTTGACACAATGATAAACTTTTTGACAAGCCCTTCAGATGCGAAGTATCTTTCGTCTGATTACGAGTGAAATACAACATATTAAATGTTGAATATTACGGGCAAGTTAAAACTTTTATTAAGGGATTAAATCTAATTTTTTTTAAAAAAAATACGAGTAGCAACTTTAATGTACTTGCAAAATTTAAAGATACTTTGAATGTCGATAGGTGTAAAAATTACTAATACCAGCTATTACATGCAAGTTAAATGGGACAGTGATGTTAGAAACACTGAAATGACTTAGGACGATTGAGCCATTAGCTAGCGTACCTAAGTCCAATTCTTTTAAGCTTCAAAGGTTGAAATTTTAAAAAGTATACGTAGTACTGATAAAATTACAGCAGAACTGATTGAACAGCAGGTAGAATATTGCGGTGATGGTGATATTCCTCAATAATTACTACTCTTTTCTCCCTTTTCATAAATACGTAAGTCTACAATATTAATTTCTTCCATTTTCCTGGTAATTCTTCTGTATTCCGAATATAATTAATACATTTGTGAAATCAAATCAAATTAAAAAAATTGAAAATGTTTGGCTCCTTCATGGTCACGTGTTTTTTTACCAACTTGTTCTCAACTTGTATCTTTTAAGAAAAGTTAACGTTCTTTTAACGTTTAGGCAAGTAACAGCTATTTATTTTGCGTTATCAAAGCGAGAGAGTGTTATTTATGATTTTATACACATTGTTGGCTTTGATGTTAATTTATTGCATGTAAAAATCTGTCGCTTGAAGGCTAATCACACAGCGGTACGTAAGAGGGATAAGTTATTTATCTTGATGGTTGCTTAAATATTCACTCACTGTGTCGACATAGGCTTATATTTCCAGTGAAATGTTTAGACCACGTACGCTTATATATTTTATGTTACAAGTAAAAGTTTAAAACAATGAGCAGATTTTACCAAACGTGTTGGGTGAAACTCTCCATAGTGAAAGATAAGAATTACGTTTTTCTAACTATAACGTTCGAATACGCAATTTCTTATATATTTATGTTTTCGCACATTTCTCCGATTACTTATAATTTCGACGTCCTTTCACCTATTTTTGTCCTTTCTCAAAAGGTATCGTGTTTTTTTGCATTTAATGTTATTTCTTGATCTTTCACGTCATTTGTAGATTTTATTATGTTATTTTATCTCGCACTGTTCTTCTAATGCTTGGTTGTAAATTAGCCTTGTTTGGCTGTTGTGAAGCACATAAATAGTTGAACTGAATTGCTCTGGATACTGCTGTTATTTTTAAATTGAAACATGGTTCAACAAAACGCGACTGTTCAAAAGTTGGTGGCGATCTGACAACAGCACAAACATGTTAGCCATTAAATATATATTTATTATCTCAGTCTATACACAAACGTATTTAAAATGTTGTTAAAATTTATATAACACTATAACATCTGTAGTATAAAATATTACAATAAGTTATATTATGTTATATTATGGCGCTTTTATCGTAGTATGATGTTACATTTATTATGGCGCTTATTATTAATTGCACGACATGTTTCTTATTATGGTTAAATCTAAATAATTTAATTTATTATTTTGTTCTGTTTCTAGAGTAAATTGTATATTTTGGTTTATATTGTTAAATTCGTTTAGGACATTTTCTATTTTTGTCTTTTTTGTGTCGAAAATCATGAGTATATCGTCTACGTATCTGCTGTAATATTTAATCTGGTTTTTGTTTAATATATTTATAATGTAATTATGTTCAAGATATTGTAAGAATATTTCGGATAGTATGCTTGACGTAGGTGCACCCATTGGTAATCCACTTAAGCTACAAAATGTTAGCCATTCTTTATTGCAATGCCAGGAATCAAAAGGTGTCTTTTAAAATACATGATCAGGCTACTAAAGTAACATCAAAATGACTGTATCTTCAAATCACAGAAACCAGATCACCTGGCAGCCATATGCAGAGTTATTTTAAGGGTGCTGCCTTCTTCAGAATGCGAAGTTTCTGCTTGCATTCACCTTAAGAAGTTGATGTACTGGGATTGGGAGAAGTGGCGCATAATAACAACGGAGATGGGTAGAAACCTCAAAACAAAACGAAAATGTAGAAGGAATCATCAAATGGGGCAGATCGCACCTACCATAAGCAGCAAAGAAATTAGCCTTGACGCTGAGAGACGGAGGCAGAGACACGGAGGGTTGAAGAACTACAAAGAATTTGCAGGTGACACCCATGAACAAGTGAATTCATGCAAAAGAATGCACAGTTCACACATGTTGAACGACACTTGAGGATGAAGCCTGACGGTGATGGTGCTTTATATTCTATCAAAGTGGAGTTTTGGACTTCGTCCATCATCTGTATTGAAATAAAATTATAATATTTCGGAAGCTGTATTTTTGTCCGTCTTCATGTAAAAAAGAGGAGGAAGTCGGCAGGCTGTAGGGTAGTTCATTGGTAAAATTCTGCTCTTCTGGGTAAAGTTTTGTGTTGTGAACTGGTATCGGTCTCATCGAGTTTTATTAATGTTATCGAACATTCATCCCATCCCTCTCTTTTGTTATATCCGTTTATTTTTCTGTTGTTTTATTTGTATTCTGCATGAACACAGCAGATTTTAGTTCTGCTTACATTTTACATATGAGCCGGGATAGCTCAGTCAGTATAGTGACTAGCTACGGACTGGACGACCGGGGTTCGATCCCCGACGGGGAAGAGGATTTTTCCTCTGGCCTCTGCGTCCAGACCGGTTCTGGGGCCCACCCAGCCTCCTATCCAATGGGTACCGGGGTCCTTTCTCGGGGGTAAAATCACGGCCGGGGCGTGATGCTGACCACTCACCCCCATCTAGTGCCGAGGTCAAGAAAGAGAGTAGCTATACCTTCACTCACCCCAAGCGCCTACATGGCGTGTAGTGGGACAAACTTTACTTTACACATTTTACATATTATCACTGATAAGAACAGCTGATGACTTGGGACTGTCTCATAGATGGGTTAGATTCCTATATATATAGTATGTTTCAGAAAGCTGTTTACACACATTCAAGGAATGGAATAAAGACATTTTAATAAACTACGCCGTTACATACGTCAGCATTGGCACTCAGTGAATTAGCGAATCCAGTGCAGGTGTTCGAAATGACCACAGTTGGTTTCGTGGCGCAGTTGACAGCAGTGACCAACTGTCTGACAAGCGACCAAGACCGTTCAATATTTCTTGCCGGAACTCTTGAAGCTTTGCTGCCTTTGTGCTGCACACTGCGTCCTTCAAGTAATCCCACAACAAAAAGTCAGGTGGGGTTAAATCTGTCGATCGTGAGTGGCACGCAACAGATCCTCTGCTTTCTATCCATCGGTCGGGGAAAGTGTTGTCTAGATAGGCCCTGACATCATAATGGTAATATGGGGTGGCCCATCTTGTTGATACCACATGTCCTCGTCAGCACACAGCTGACGAAGGGCGGGAACAATGGAGTTTGAAAGTGTATACGTCTTTTTGGGACTCTTCTGTATATATGTACACAAGTTATCCACTGCAGATGATTGTCGTTGTGCGCCGTCCCTTATTCCGGGAACTTCTACGTTGAAGCTGTCCAGGTCTGAGACTGGTTCAACCAGGGGGCCCAACAGCTATGGTTTCTGTCCTTCCACCATTTTACATGAACGCAAAAGAGTACCAGCTTCCGAAACGTGATTTTATTAGAATGTGCTCGATGGAAAAAGTTCGAAACACTACGTTTACATGTTATAATATCTGAGAAGCGTACAACGCTTGCACACACAGAAAAATGCAATTACGTAACTATAGGGTTCAAAACGTCCACACTGCAATCGCGTGTCGTGGAATTCTAGCTTCCACCAATAGCCGACTCAGCAGCATGAAACTCTGCATTCAAGTCTTCCATGTCAGTCGGAGGATCCCTGTAAACAATTTCTTTCACGTGTCCCCAAAGGAAGAAGACCAGGGATTTCAGGTCCGGTGATCTCTCAGCCGCCACGTCCTAGCCACCTGTCAGGAAACTATGTGTTGAGGTGTTGTTGCGTCTGTGTACTAAAATGCGCTTTGCTTCCCTTCGCGTCGATCCGCTAGTGGCACGCCTTGAAGCAGCAGCGGTAGCACTTGCTGCAGGAACACTCGATAAGCAGCGTCGTTGAGGGGCACAGGTAGTAGGTATGGCCCAGTCACACATTTGCCAATGATACTGGCCCATGCATTAATGCGTCAGCGACCTTGATGGCCCCAATTTGCGTGTAACATAGGGATCAAGTTGTGTCCACAAGTGGCTGTTGTGAGTCTTGAAGACGCCATCATTTGTGAATACTGCTTCGTCTGACCAAAATAAGATGTGCTACAAAAAGCCTGGATCTTTTAAAAGCCGCTCGCAGTTTTGGAGACGATAATGATATGAGGCATGAGACCTTGAACCCTTGAGTAATGGTATGGATGCAGGTCTTCATCCAGGAGGATTAAATGGACAGAGCTGTGTTCGGTATCCAACTTCCGGGTAATTAGTCGTGTACTACGACATGAATTCTTTGCCACCATAACCAGAACTATCTCTTCGAGTGCTGGTAGACGGTCGACCCCTATCCAATGGTGATGTTGGTAGGACGTTACCAGTCTCCCTCATCCTCTCGTCCAGCGAGAAAAACACATTTCTGCGTGGATGGTTGCGTGCTGTGTGTCTTTCTGCATAAGCCCTGGCAGCAGCGTAGGTCCGGTTACCACAAGCACCAAAGATCGAACACTGTTCACACATCGCCTTATTCGTGCAACGCAAAGTTTATTGCTGCCGCCGGATGACTACGCTGAGCGCTGAGTTTTGATCACTGTCGACCGTGGTATCTCAAGGAGCTATCTTCGTATTTCCTGTGCTGAACGTCACGTCCTGTGACCCTTGATATTTCCAAAGCGTGATTAATGTACTTGCCCCATTTGACGGTTATATTACAAAGTCCTTTTGTTTTCAAGTT